TATTTTCCCTCCCAAAAGGAAATAGTAAATCTATTTATATTTATAAATAAACATAGAACACTTTTCTATTTCCTTTTTTTTAAATATCAATTTTCATTTGTAGATTATGCAAAAAGGGTTTGTCGATAAAATAGAACTTTGCAGGATTTTTTATGTTGGTCAGATATTTTTTTTTTTTTTTTTTTTTTTTGAAAATTTTAGTATTAGTAGTTAAAGATTTTTCCAAATTTTTATCAGCAGTAAATGCCATTTTAAGTATGACGGAATTTGCTATCATAATTTAGGAATTTTTGCACTAGTACTAAGAATTAATTTTGGTCAGACGGAATCAGTAATTTACCTCTTCCTCTTTCACAAATACACTTCCACTTTCACCATTCCACTTTTACTTTCACTATTCCACTTACACTTTCATTTCCATTTTTATCATTCCACTTCTAATTTTCCAATTCAACATCTATCATTCCACTTTCAATGTTTGACTTTTACGAAAGTGGAAATGGAATTATGAAAGTGGAATTGTGAAATGAAAGTGAAAGTGGAATTATGAAAATAGAAATGAAATTGGAATTATGAAAGTGGAATTGTGAAATGAAAGTGAAAGTGGAATTATGAAAATAGAAATGAAATTGGAAATGTGAAAGTGGAATGGTGAAATGAAAGTGAAAGTGGAATTATGAAAATAGAAATGAAATTGGAAAGGTGAAAGTGGAATGGTGAAATGAAAGTGAAAGTGGAATTAGGAAAATAGAAATGAAATTGAAAAGGTGAAAGTGGAATAGTCAAAATATAAGTGAAAGTGTAAGTGGAATAGGGAAAATGAAAATTGATGGGTGGAAATGGAAATGAAATTACAAAATGGACCCCCAGATTATAAATTTGAGTCAAATAAATAAATAATGAAAAATAAAGAATTCAGTTTTTTAAAAAAAATTTATAATAAGTATAAGAATTAAAAAAAATAGAAAAAAATGAAATAAGGAGGAAAATAAAAAATCTGAACAGTTTTCGGTCTCCGTGACGTGTCGGTAGAATTTGCAAGAGAAAGGCAGGAAACCGGTTGTTGCGACTTATATACGTTTTTAGTGGAGCTAGATTGTGTAGTTACCGAAAAAGTATTCTACAACTTACTCGAATACGTTTTATATTATATATATACGTTTTCTCGACTAGAATAAGCTTTTATTCTACCAATTACACACCTTTATATATATTTTTTTTCCTTAATGCTCTTCTTTTCATTTTTCTAACGCTTTTCTCTCTCCATTCACGTGCATTACACGGCCTATGCTCTATGGTGCAGCTGTCGAGCCACAAAACGTCCCCTCGACTTCCTAGTCTCGTCACGTTTCCGGTTATTGTCATGAAGGCGATGCTCCGACGACTGATTTCCTCGCCTCGGGATAAGACTCGGTTTCTTATATATATATACTATATTACTTGAAAGTCACCGCGTGTTGGAATAAAATTATATAACAAGCCTTTTAACATTTATGAAATTCCAACCTTGGAATTTCGAACTTGTTTTTCACTTTTCAATTCATCCACCGTGTCAAATAATATATATATATACCAAAGAAAAATCACTTTTTCTTTTATATATGATATTATCATCACTTAAATTTATCACTTTTTCAAAGAACAAAAAAACAACTTTTTTAACTTTAAAAAATAAAATAAAAATAAATTATTATTATTTTTGAAATATATTGCAATTTATTTCTATACACTGAAGAAAAAAAATTTATATTTGATTCAAATAATCGGTTACTTGACTTATATTAAATAAATATTTATTTAATAAAAATAAATATTTAATATTAGCCAAGTAACCGTTTATTTAAATTAAATAAATTGTTTTTCCGTAATCTTCGTATATTTTTATAAAAATATTTTCTAAATTTTTATCAGATATTTTTACATAGAATTCAAAATTTTATCCTTAATAACAGAAATAAAAGAAAATATTTTTGTCAACTAAAATGTTTAAATTAAAAAATGTGACTGATGCCTTTTTTTTAAATATATTTATTTTATATTTACAAGACTCATACAATTTCTAAAATAATAATAATAAGAATTATTTATAATCAATTCAACCGGAAAGGATATATAACTAATGTAAACAGTTGGTTTCAATAATTTTCTTACAATATTTTTATAATCTTTTTAAAAACAGTTATTTTGTGCAATTTTTTTTTTTTTTTTACTAAATACGAATATTTTTAAAAGTCAAATATTATATTACGTATAACAATAAAAATTTTCGAATATCCTACTATATACTTAGTTAACAATTTTTCACGTAATTTGAAATTTTGAATGTTTTTTTTTTTTTTACATTTTATATATTTTTTTATATTGTCTAAATAATGTAGTACTCTAAAATTTAAATAATTATATAATTCTCTCTAGATACATTTTTATTATGTAAAATAAATTTGAATTCACAGGCATTTATTATAGTAAATAAAATTTAAAATAAATAAATTAGGTTTCAATTTAAAAAAAAAAAAAATATTAGTGATAGTAATTCTGTTGAAAAAAAAAAATTCGGTGGACAATACAAAAGTATAACATATATATATATATATATAGGCCATAGTTCTCGATTAATATAAGATTTTATCAATATATTTTTCTCGAGACTATGTAGTCGATTTTTCTAACAATCTCTAATTTAATAATTTAAATGATTTAAAATCATCGTTCGATAGTTTATAACAAATTCAAATGCTCACACTCGATTTATAGACACACACACACTCTTAACAAATTCGATTTTTAACAATTACACGCATATCATTTGTCATTTTTTAATACGTATGACTTTTAAAAAAAACTCATACAAATGGCAGCAAAATTTTTTTTTCTTTTTTTTATGTATTATTATTTATTATTATTATTATTATTATTAATATTATTAATTAATGAACTCTTAATATATATTATTTGTATTTCCAATCTTCTATTGTTATCTTCCACTCATTAATTTTTATCGACTCTTTTAATAAATATGCTTCACTTTCGGAATATTATATTTGGATTTAAAATTTAATTAATTATTAACAAAATATTTTTTTATACTTTACATATTGTATACCAGTTTTTATAATTATAAAAATATTTTTTAATTTTTTTTTTTTTTTTTTTGATTGAAAAAGGAAAAGAAAATTATTGAATCAAAATGAAAATTCTTTACATTTTTTTTTTTTAAAGAAATAAATAATTATAAATTAATATTAAATGTTATTCCAATTTAAAATAGAACGAAAAAATATTTTTTTTAAAAAACAAAGTCCTTGTGAAAAATATTTATTTCTAATTAATTATAAATTATAAAAAGATAATTTTATAATTATAACGAATTTTTTTTTCTTTCAACAATCGGAATTGTTTTTTATTTAATTTTTTTTGTTTATTTACACTACTTACGATCAATCAATTCAACTCTTAATTTCATTAGAACAATTTTTCAATATATTTTCCACTTTATTTTCATTAACAATATTTATTTTTTTATTTTTATTCTTTTTTCATTTTTATTTAATATTAATTTTTTTCATCTAAATTTTATTTTACAGAAAAAAGTAACTTTTTTCTTAAAAATTGCTATTTTTTTTTTTATTTAAAAAAAATTTGTGATTCTATTTTTTTTTTAATTTTCCACAAAAAAACAATTTTTTTTTTCATTTAAAAAAATTGACTATCGAACTATAGGAAACGAGAGACAATTTTCTCGACTAATCGCACAGCGAATAAACAGGCACCTATATAATTGTTATTTCGCATCTTGAATTTCTGCGAGAATTCGAAGCGCATTATCTTTGGTCCACGTAAGATTTTTTTTTTTTTTTTTTTTAATATAAGAAAAAAGTAAATTGGTATATATATATATATAATAGAGAATGAGGGTCGTTAATATTGGTATATAAAGTTAGTTCTAAAAACGGGGAATCGCGCAAAAATTACCGCGCTTATGTTTGTCTTTTTAATTATTCTTTTTTTTTTTTTTTGTTTTGAAATATTGCAGTGCGACTTAAAAGAATTCAAATTATTAATAATAATTGTAATACTATATGCATGCAAGAATCAGTATTTCATTTCGTACAATACAAAATATATTTATTTTTATATATACAGACGGAAAAAAAAATCTCACATTGAGAGGAAAAGCCTCTCAAGTTATCTTAAAATGAGAAAATTTAATACTTTTGCAAATTTTTTTTTTTTGAGGATTTAATAGAGAAAATTAAATTTTAAATAGAGAATTTTTTTTTCCTCTTCGTTTAAGAGTTTTTTTGTTTACTACTTCTATTTTAAACAATTTTTCTATTATTGCACAAATTATTTTCATTTTCATTTCACCATATTTCTGCCCAAAAAAGGATAATCTAAATTTGAGAGTATTTTTCACTTCTTATAATATAATCCATATATATAGTTAAATATTACAATATTCTTAATGGGAGAATATTTTTAAAATCAGAAACAATTTCGATTATTTTGAAAATAAAAATTGTATTCAATTAAAAAATATTCTTATTTTAAAAATATTTTTTTATTCTAAATTTTATGAATAAAATTCATGAATTATATTCTAATAACGTTTTTTTTAAAACAATTTTTTATTATTGTATTGTTTCATTGAAAAAAATTTTATTCGTAATGTAAATTTATAATCTCCTTGGCCAATTCGATCTTGAACGTTGATTTTATTATTATGTGAAAGGTTTCAATTTCATAGAGAAGTGAATTCAGTGACAGATTTAGTGTGATGACAAGCGTGTAGGTGTCAACCTTGTTTAGCAATCTGACCCCGAAATATTTAGTCCCTATATAATTCAAAATAGTATTTTTCATCTTTTTTTTTTTATATCTGGTTCCTCTCAAAACAAGAATATTTTTCTTTAAACTAAAAGATTTACTTTTTTAAAAAACAGGAAAACGCTAACGTATTCATTTTCTTATTGTGAATAGTGTACGTTAGCGTTTTCATCTTTAAGATTACATTTTCCTCTCAAAACAAGAATATTCTCCTTTAAAATAAAAGATTTTATTTTTTTTTAAGAAAATAAGAACTGAAATTGACTATGTGATAAAATAGTAACATCCTCTCAAATCAAGAGGAAATCATTTTTAATAATTAATACGTTCCAATAATCATTTTATAGAATACTGAAAGAATAAAAATTTAGAGGAAAAATAGGCAGTGAATATAAACATGTACCAAGCAATTAATACTTTCTTAAAAATATTTTATCTATTTTAAATAAGAAATAAATAATCTAGTAAAATTTTCAATTCGTTGTCGCACGTACAAAAGTCGTCTTTTTTTAACTATATATATATAAATATATAGAAAAAAAAGGCGATCCAATCGGTATAACGCAAAATGTTCGTTCCTCTTTTATGTAGGACGTATATATATATATATAGGTATGTATATATATACAAGCATTCCTTTGGTTTTTGTTATCCTTTGGTATCATCATGATGAGGAACTCTTACGAGAATTCTGTAGACGCAACAGCTGTTGAACTCCGCGATATACACTCGATCAAGAGGATCCTCTAATTCTTGTGTCCTTGAGTTCTTGGCTCCCCCGTTGAGAGTGCCATGCCGTCGACGATCCGCCCAAGATAAGCCTCTCAGAGTCTGCGAACAAATTTTTTTTTTTTTTTTTTTTTTTTGCTTTTTTCTTTTTCTTTTATCATCACACACGACACACAGAAATTACGACAGGACGATAAAATTCTACACACAACTTTTCCACTCAGCATCTCTAAAGGGCGTGTAATGCAAAATGGGCTAATTATTTACTACTCTCTTCCATATTATATATATATATATATACAGAAGCCTTGAACATTTATTTTTATTTTTTGTAAGAATTTCACGCCTCGTGAAAAATTGCAATTTTTATCATTTAACTGATACTTAAGATACTTACATATAATTTTATCTATTTTTTAAATCAAATTTCATTAATTAGTTATTTTATTATTAATTATCAATCATTATTTTAAAAAAAAACGTTGTTTTTAATTAACAATTGTTATTATTTAACCATTACTGTTGATTAACTTTTCTTATTAAGTATTGTTTGTCATTAGTTATTAATTATTATTAGTTATTAATTATTATTAGTTATTAATTAACCATTATTGTTTATTAACTATACTCAATAATTTTTGTTTGTTATTAATTATAAATTATAAATTGTTATTAATTATCAATTGTTAATAACCAACCACTGTTATAAATAAACAATTGTTATTAATTAACAATTATTATTAATTAACAATTGTATTTAATTAACAGCTGTTATTATTTAACAATCGATGTTAATTAACCATACTCAATAATTTCTGTTTGTTATTAATTATAAATTATAAATTGTTATTAATTATCAATTGTTAATAACCAACCACTGTTATAAATCAACAATTGTTATTAATTGACAATTATTAATAATTAACAATTGATTTTAATTAACCATACTTAATAATTTCCGTTTGTTATTAATTATTAATTCTTATTAATAAACAATTGTATTTAATTAACAGCTGTTATTATTTAACAATCGATGTTAATTAACCATACTTAATAATTTCCGTTTGTTATTAATTATTAATTGTTCTTAATCAACAATTGTAATTAATTAACAACTATTCTTCATTATTAAGTGTTAATTAATTTAAAAAGTTAATTATTTATTATTTATAAATCACCATTCGTTATAATTAACAACTGTTATTAATTCAGCATATTTATTACCTTTCTTTTTGTAATTAGTTATCAATTGTTATTAATCAAGAATTGTTAATAATTATGAATTATTATCAATTATTTATTGTTATTAATTATCATTTTTATTAATAAAAAATTGTTATTAATTATTAATTTGTTATTGATCAGCAATTATTAATTATTAACAGCTGTTTTTAAATAATAATTGTTAATTAAAATATTAATTAATAATAAATAATCATTGTTTATAATTAATAATTGTTATTAATTAACTATACCATATTATCACTTAATAATTGTTATTAATTAAAAATTGTTATTAATTATTAATTTGTTATTGATCAGCAATTATTAATTATTAACAGCTGTTTTTAAATAATAATTGTTAATTAAAATATTAATTAATAATAAATAATCATTGTTTATAATTAATAATTGTTATTAATTAACTATACTATATTATTACTTAATAATTGTTATTAATTAAAAATTGTTATTAATTTTTGTTTTTGTTTGTTATTAATTAAGAATTGTTATTAATTAACAATTGTTATTAATTAAGAATAGTTATTAATTAACAATTGTTATTAATTAAGAATTTTTATTAATTAACAATTGTTATTAATTAAGAATTGTTATTAATTAACAATTGTTATTAATTAACAATTGTTATAAATTAAGAATTGTTATTAATTACCATTGTTATTAATTAACAATTGTTATTAATTAAGAATTGTTATTAATTAAGAATTGTTTTTAATTACCATTGTTATTAATTAACAATTGTTATTAATGTTGTTGTCAACTAATAATTGTTATTAATTAACAATCATCGTTAAGTAACAATTTTTATTAATTAACAATCGTTATTGAGTAACATTTTTTATTAATTGACAATTGTTTTTAATTGATAAGTAACCATTATTAATAAATTGTCATTAATTAACAACAGTTATTAATTAACCAATGTGATATTAATTTGTTATTATTTTTTGTTATTAATCATAATTTGTTAATAATAATAATTATTATCAATTATTTATTGTTATTAATTATCATTTTTATTAATAAAAAATTGTTATTAATTATTAATTTGTTATTGATCAGCAATTATTAATTATTAACAGCTGTTTTTAAATAATAATTGTTAATTAAAATATTAATTAATAATAAATAATCATTGATTATAATTAATAATTGTTATTAATTAACTATACCATATTATCACTTAATAATTGTTATTAATTAAAAATTGTTATTAATTATTAATTTGTTATTGAGCAGCAATTATTAATTATTAACAGCTGTTTTTAAATAATAATTGTTAATTAAAATATAAATTAATAATAAATAATCATTTTATAATTAATAATTGTTATTAATTAACTATACTATATTATCACTTAATAATTGTTATTAATTAAAAATTTTTATTAATTTTTGTTTTTGTTTGTTATTAATTAACAATTGTTATTAATTAACAATTGTTATTAATTAAGAATAGTTATTAATTAACAATTGTTATTAATTAAGAATTTTTATTAATTAACAATTGTTATTAATTAAGAATTGTTATTAATTAACAATTGTTATTAATTAACAATTGTTATAAATTAAGAATTGTTATTAATTACCATTGTTATTAATTAGCAATTGTTATTAATTAAGAATTGTTATTAATTAAGAATTGTTTTTAATTACCATTGTTATTAATTAACAATTGTTATTAATGTTGTTGTCAACTAATAATTGTTATTAATTAACAATCATCGTTAAGTAACAATTTTTATTAATTAACAATCGTTATTGAGTAACATTTTTTATTAATTGACAATTGTTTTTAATTGATAAGTAACCATTATTAATAAATTGTCATTAATTAACAACAGTTATTAATTAACCAATGTGATATTAATTTGTTATTATTTTTTTTGTTATTAATCATCATTTGTTAATAATAAACAATTGTTAATTAACAAGTTTTACTTAAAAACATACTATTATAAATGAAAAATAAATATTAAATTTCGTTATATATATATTTCTATTTAATATAAAAATGAAATAAAAAAAAAAATGAGAACCAAATAGAAGTCAAGACTCGATTATAAAAGGGGAGTTAGTTAAAGCACGTTAGGCGCCTATTTGGAGCCTGTGTGGTATATGTCTTAAAATATGCCTCTATATCGTGCTGCTATACGTAATAGAAATGCTCAGATAAAAGTCTCTTCTAAATGAAAATTTATTTTAATTTACATTCTCTAATTAATTTTCCCCTTAAAAAAAATTTTTACAAAAAAGAATTCAAAAAACACACACACAAAATTCATTATACTATATTCTTAAATTTAGAATAAACTATTATTAATAAAATTATAATACAAATATTTTAAAATAACTTCTCAGTATATTCCTTTTTTCCATGATATATAAATCAGAAAATAATTTCTTTTTTGCCTATCGAGGAAAAATAATTAAATATCGGAAGTTCTAATCGCGAATGATATATATTATATTGAAAGAGTTGAAGATTTCTACAAAAGAGGAATAAAGTAGAATAAATGACCATGGAATTGTACGAGATTGGTCTCTGATAAAAAAGAGCTTTATATCCACAAGTACGAATAAAAAAAAAAATAATAAAAATAAAAAAAGAGTTGTAATTTGCAACTCTTCATACGAGGCATAGATTCATTCGTCCTACAAATGTGAAACAAAAAGGTGATATCTTTGCCTCGAGGTGCATGCAATTCTCAGAATTGCAAGATAACTCTCCTCATGTCTGACATTTTGGTTTACGTATATTCGATCGTTCCGCTATTTTTACTCCTCGTCTTTCTATATTTAATTTTCATTGCAACGCTTTCTTATAAAATTAGATTTGCCGCAATGAATCAAATATATAACATTATATACTCGCGGAGCTTTTATAAAAGACAAATCTCTCTGTGTGTGTGTGTGTGTGTGTGTGTGTGTCTTATAATTTTGAGGGTGAATCACCAAAAAATTCTAATCTAATTTAAAAAAAAAAATATAAGTAAAATATTTTCCTTATTAGGTATTTATGGTTTTTTTCTAATAAAAATAATACTAATCTTTTTCGGTGTCTAATTTGCATTAAAAAAAAAAAATGAACTCACATTTAAACAGGATCCTTTTTTTTGCAAATATTCCGAAGTAAAAAGAAAGATTTGTATTGAAATCAACAACATAAATTAGTCAAGATGAAATAAAAATTCTTTAGATTTTATTATTTTTTTATTATTATTTATTATTTTTTAAATTTCACTTATTAATTAATTGTTATTTATAATTTATATTAAAAAATTATTAATTAATTGTTATTAAATTTTGTTTTTATATGTTATTAATTATAAATTAATATTAATTAACCATTGTTTTTAATTAACAATTGTTATTCATTAACAAAATTGTTCTTAATTCTCTATTTTTATTAATTAACAATTGTTATTAATTTAGGTTATTAATTAATAATTGTTATAAATTAATAATTGTTATTAATAATCAATTGTTATAAATTAATAATCGTTACTAATTAATAATTATTATTAATATACAATTGTTACTGATTAATAATTTGTTATTAATTATCAATTCTTAATTATACTGTTAATTGTTATTAATTAACTAACAATTAACAATTGTTATTAATTAACAATTGTTATAAATTAATAATTGTTATTAATAATCAATTGTTATAAATTAATAATTGTTACTGATTAATAATTTGTTATTAATTAACAATTGTTATAAATTAATAATTGTTACTAATTAATAATTCTTATTAATTAACAATTGTTATTGATTAATAATTTGTTATTAATTATCAATTCTTAATTACTGTTAATTGTCACTAATTAACAATTGTTATTAATTTAAGTTATTAATTAATAATTGTTATAAATTAATCATTGTTATTAATAATCAATTGTTATAAATTATTAATTGTTACTGATTAATAATTTGTTATTAATTAACAATTGTTACAAATTAATAATTCTTATTAATTAACAATTGTTATTGATTAATAATTTGTTATTAATTATCAATTCTTTTTTACTGTTAATTATTATTAATTAACAATCGTTATTAATTTAAGTTGTTAATTACCAATTGTTACTGATTAATAATTTGTTATTAATTAAAAATTGTTATTAATTTTCTGATTATTAATTAATAATTGTTATTAAATATAAATTGTTAATAATTAACAGTTGTTGCTGATTAATACTTGTCATTTATAATTTTTTATAATTTGTAATAATTTGTAATAATTTTTAATAATAATAAATAAATATAATATATGAAAAACTAAATTATAAAATTAAATAATAATTATAAATTATAATAAAAATTGTTAATAATTTTTTTTTATAAATAATTTTTTTTAGAAATTTTAACAAAAGACGAAAATTTAAATTCCAATTATATATTTATATACTTTTATATACAAAGAAACATATAATGCAAAATGCGATTCGTTTCACATCCTACCAATTTATTCCAAATCTCTTTTCTAGTGCGTGGGCTGAAATACTAACACTGCGCCAACACTGAAACATTCGTGCGTGTTCACGAATAGTATACTCGAAATCTCTCGGACATAGAATTATTTATGTTAACGGAATTTATTATCAGTGACAGGCAGATTAAGTATTTCATTTACTTGCTCTTTTAACTTTGTTGAAAATATACTGACTCACTATAGTCGAACTTATTTCTTTTCATTTTTTTCGCGCGCGCTCGCGCGACAATTTATATATATATTTGCCTCATTCTCTTAGAATTTGTTTTTCCGGTTATTCCGGAAACTTTAAATAATATTTTTCACAACAGAAAAATTTGTTTCCCTTTATTTTATTTTTTGACACACATTCAATTTCTGTCTTATTTTTAAGTAGAATTTTCAACTGTTTTTAATGAAAAAAAATTTTTTATTCAATAATAAAAAATTTAATCAGTAAAATAAAAAAAAAAAATTAGAAATAATTTTTATTTGTACGAATTTTTAATTGATAGAATTTTTGCGCCGCCGAATTTTCATTTGTCCTAAATTACAAATGTCCGAACAAAAACAAACGATAGAAAGATTTCGGCGCAATTTTTGAAAATTTAACCAATCACGATTTTCTTGATAATTTTTGAAAATTGCGCCGAAATCTTTCTGTCGACTTTTTATTCGGCCATTTGTAATTTTGGACAAATAAAAATTCGGCATCCTAAAAATTTTGGATAAAATAAAATTAGGCGTCTTAAAAATTCTATTAATTAAAAATTCGGGTAAATTAAAATTTGATGAATTGAAAAATCTGTCATTTAAAAATTCGAATAATGCAAAAAACAAGTCTTATATGTTTAAAACAATTTTTGGGGTTAAAAGAATTTGTAAAAAAAAAAAAAAAAAAGATACATTGGGTTATAATGTACAATCCACAAAAATTAATGGGAGAGAGAGAAAGATGAAATGCGTAAAAAAGTGAACACTCATCCATTTTTATAGCAGTGAGCCTTCAAGCCTGCGTGGTTTGAAATGTTAAAGAAGTTTTTAAGTACGGATTTGGTTGTCGACTTAAGTAGAGGATGCGCGCTTGTTCTCTTTCTCTCTCAAAAAGTTTAAGGCAACCAGAATAATTTGAAGAACGGGGGGAGAAGGGATGTTACGGTCGGTGACTTTGTTTTTCGTCGTTAAATCAAAAAAAAAAAAAAACAAAAAACAAAAGAAGAGAAAAAAAATTCCAGGTTCACCAACCTTCGATCAGGCTTCTTGAAGCTCGCCCTTGACTCCTGGTATACTGTGATGATGCCTTGAGGCTAGTTTGTTCGCCAACTCGTGCATCACGTCTCTATATATGACGGTGTCCAAATTTTCACCCAACATATAGAGGAGGAACCAATCTCCCACTTTACTTCGACGTACAATCGTTTCAACAGCATCTCGTCGTACAAGACGAAACCTCAGTCTCAATAGGTGTACCCTCGTTCGAGGCGAAAATATTATGATGATCTGCAACAATTTCGTGGAGTCGAGAAAAATTTTCATTTTTTTTATATTTAGTATTTGTTGATACTAGTATTTCGTTTATTTTTTTTATTTTTTAGGCTCAAAATATGTTTCGTATAGGTTCAAAATAAGGTTGAAGTATGTTCAAAGAAGGTTTTAAATCTACAGTAGGTTTAAAGTAGGTCTACATTTGGTCAAAAATCGGTTCAAAGTAGATCCATTATAGGTTTAAAGTAGGTTTTAAATAGGTCTAAATTAGGTCCAACAGAAGTTCAACGTAGCACAAGGTAGGTTCAAAGAATATAATTAAAGTCTTCAGTAGGTCAAAAAAAGGTTCTAAACAAATCTAAATTAGGTCTATTGTAGATTTAAAGTAGGTCTAAAGTAGGATCAAAGTAGGGTTAGTCTACAGTAGGTCCAATGTAGGTCTAAGAAAGGTTAAAAGTAGATTCTAAGTAGGTCTAAATAGATCCAAATTAGGTCCAATACAAGTTGAACGTAGGTAGAAAGTAGATAGAATTGAAGACTACAGTACGTTCAATAAAGGCTAACGTAGGTCAAAAATAGGTTCCAAGTAGGTTAAAGTCTTTTAGTAGGTTCAATAAAGGTTAACGTGGGTCAAAAGTAGGTTCAAAGTAGAGATAAAGTCTACTGTAGGTCGAATTTAGGTCTAAGAAAGGTTCAAAGTAGGTTCTAAGTAGGGCTAAATGGATCCAAATTAGGTCCAATACAAGTTCAACGTAGGTAGAAAGTAGATAGAATTGAAGACTACAGTACGTTCAATAAAGGCTAACGTAGGTCAAAAATAAGTTCCAAGTAGGTTAAAGTCTTTTAGTAGGTTCAATAAAGGTTAACGTGGGTCAAAAGTAGGTTCAAAGTAGAGATAAAGTCTACTGTAGGTCGAATTTAGGTCTAAGAAAGGTTCAAAGTAGGTTCTAAATAGGCCTAAAAAGATCCAAAGAGGTCCATACAAGTTCAACGTAGGTAGAAAGTAGTTAGAATTAAAGGTTGTAAATTAGGTTCATTATATATTTAACGTAGGTCTAAGAAAGGTTTAAAGTAGAGTCAAAGTATGTACAATAAAAGTTAACGTAGGTCAAAAATAGGTTCGAAGTAGGGTTCAAGACTACTGTAGGTCAAATGTAGGTCTAGAAAAGGTTCGAAGTTGATTTAAAGTCTACAATAATTCTAAACAGTGCTTACAGTAGGTCCAATACAGGTTGAAAATAGATCCAAAGTAGAATTAGTATAAGTTCAAAGTAGTTTCTAAAAAGGTTTAAATTAGGTCGATTACAAGTTCAACGCAGGTTGAAAGTAGGTTTAAAGTCTAAAGTAGGTCTAAAAAGGTTTGAAAAAGGTTCTAAATTGATCTAAATTAGGTCTTCTACAGGTTCGAAATAGATATAAAGTAGGTTCAAAGTAAGTTTTAAATTCGTCTAAATTAGGTCCAGTACAAGATCAACGTAGGTAGGAAGTAGGTTCAAAGTAGGATTTAAGCCTTCAGTAGGTTCAGTGCAGATTTAAAATAGGTCTAAATTAGGTCCAGTACAAGATCAGCGTAAGTCGGAAGTAGGTTCAAAATCTACAATGGATATAAACTAGGTCTACATTAGGTCTAATAAAGGTCATAAATAGGTCTAAATTAGGTCTATTGTAAATTTAACGTAGGTAAAGTTCAAAGTAGGTTCAAAATCTACAGTGGATCTAAACTAGGTCTACATTAGGTCCGATAAAGGTCATAAATAGGTCTAAATTAGGTCTATTATTAATTTAACGTAGGTAAAATTCAAAGTAGGGTTAAATTTTGCATTAGGTCCAATGTATGGTCAAACTAGATCAATAGTAGGACCAATATAGAATCAAATTAGGTCCTAAATTAGGTCTAAACTAGGTTCATAGTAGGATTAAATTCTACATTAGGTCCAATGTAGTTTCAAAATAGACCTACAGTAGGTTCAATATAGATTCAAAGTAGGTTCTCAATAGGTCTAAATTAGGTCTAAAGTTCACTATAGGTTATTGTATTTAGTAATAATTAAAAATTAAATCTTGACTCTAAAGAAGAAATTAAATAGAAACAATAGTAAATATATTTATTTTTTTCAATGTTATAATGTTTAGTTCGAGGTCGAGTGAATATTTAACACGCGAGATTTAAGAGACTTTAAAACGACCTCGTTTGCGATAATGAAGTTAGTGACATAAAATTTGACCAAGTGTGTAATTAAGAAACACTTGAGATTCTTAAGGTCGCACCAATTTTGGCGATTGCTAATAAACTGACGACATTTTAATGTGTTCTACTATATATATATATATATATATATATATATATATATATATATATATACACTAAGACACCATAATTTCTCTAGTCGCGCACAGTTGTGCCAAAAATAAACAAAAATAAAAGTAAAAATAAAATTTTGAATAAAGAAAGTTGTCACAAAATTTTATTATCAAATTTGTGCAAAATATTTTATTTTAACTTTAAAATTGTTAACAACAATTTTATTTTTAGATCTAAATATTGAGAATGTAAAATTAATATCCTTATATTTAGTGAAATAGTATTTAATTTTTTCTCATGAGTTCAGTAAAAAAAAAAAAGAGTAGTTAATTATTCTCTCATGTTTTACAAGAAACAATAGACATACAATAATATTTTTAATTGAGGTTCAATAATTGCTTTCTATTCTGTCAAGTCACTTCATTAGAACTAATTTCTGTTTACTTGGCTATTTATGAAAAAAAAAACTCTTTATTTAACGGGAAACGACTTATGCCATTAAAAAAAGACTCCTCTAATTCTAAGCTAAATTTCCGTTTAAAATAAACAGAAGAATTCAATGCAAAATTCTAAGAGGAAAAAAAGAGGAAAAAAAGAAAAAAAAGCTATAAAGAATAAAAAAAAATGTGTCTTACCCTATAAATAACAGTCAATAAACTGAGAATGCCGAGGAAAAGGAACCAGAACCAAAGGAAGACGTAGATCTTCTCGTTGACGACATTTAGTGGTAATATGCAAACGGCATCGTGTCTCTCAACTTCACCGCTAACGCCATATTTGTAGAATGTGCATTTGGTCATCCTTGGGAAGACGTAGATCATTGGATCGATACGATCCTCTTGATCGGACTCAAGAAATCGCAGGACATCAATGCCAAATGTAAGGAAGGCACCATCGAAGAAACGATTCATCAGGAACATCTGGCCTGCGTGGATATTTCACTCGCTGTAGACGACTGCATTGGAAAGTTTAAAAGAGACCTAGGAAGATTGGGAGGTCTATTTGGCACAATAAGGTTTCATCGAGAAAAGGGTTCAAAATTTTTTTTTATTCCTTCTAATGGCAAAATTTTTTTTTTTTTTTTTTTGTAATGAAAATCCTTTTTTTCCCTGAAGAAACATTCTTTTCTTTACCAGTGCAGAAATTTTTAAACGGGCACTGGTAGGGCCCACGTAGGGAAGCCCCAAGTTCGCAATGGGGAACCCAACTGGGGCTACATAAAAAAGCCCTATTTCAGCCCGATTAAAATCGATTAGAACTGGAGCCCGATCAGGGCCTAATTTGGTCCCGGTCGGGTTCCCTGTTTCAGCCTAGTCAGGGCAAGATTGGAAAATTTTTGCACTGGTATATCTGATGTTCGATTCTCATTAGGGAGGATATAATTGAGGGTCTGATAGTAAAAGTGTGGAAAAATATCTTTGTAAACTAGAAACAAGATAGTAAAACTGTACCGATACTGTCTAATTACTGTATAGTTTCACTATAGAAACATTCCAATATAGTTAAACTATCCAAAAAATAGTTTTAATATAGTTTAAGTATCTGGAAACTTGATACTATACCTGTAATTATCTATCTAGAATCTAGATAGTTTCAATATAGTTCAAGTATCCAGAAACTAGGTAGTTTTCGTTAAGTTTAACTAAGAAGAAACTGAATAGTTTTTTCATAGTTTAACTGTCCACAAACTAGACAACAACAGTAACAACTTCTTCGAAAAAACTATGCAGTGACTATTTAGAAAATATTACAATTGTACTGATACTGTATAGAAACTAGATAGTTCAAGCATCTAGAAACTAAGTAGTTTCTGTATAGTTTAATTATTTAAAAACTAGATATTATAATTGTCCTAACCTTTCTGAATAATCTATATAGAAACTATAATAAAATCTGTATAGAATACAGATAGAAACTAGATAGAAACTAGGTAGAAACTAGATTGAATATAATTTAGATATAAAATAGATAGGAACTAGATAGGAAGTAGATAGAAACTAAATAAAAACTAGATACAACTTAAGTAGAAGCTAAATAGTATTTAGATAAAAACTAAGTAGTTGTTAGACAGAAACTGGATAGAATTGAGATAGAAACTAGATTGAATATAATTTAGATATAAAATAGATAGGAACTAGATAGGAAGTAGATAGAAACTAAATAAAAACTAGATACAACTTAAGTAGAAGCTAAATAGTATTTAGATAAAAACTAAGTAGTTGTTAGACAGAAACTGGATAGAATTGAGATAGAAACTAGATAGGAAGTAGATAGAAACTAAATAAAAACTAGATACAACTTAAGTAGAAAATAAATAGTATTTAGATAAAAACTAAGTAGTTGTTAGACAGAAACTGGATAGAATTGAGATAGAAACTAGATAGTTTAACTGTTCTGACCATTCTCAATATCTTAGATTTCCTAGATAGTTTCCATATAGCTTATGTATCCAAAAACTTGATAGTATATTTTCTAGATAGTTTCTAGGTAGTCTTTGGCTAGTTTCTAACTAGTTTCTTGGTAGTTTCTAGGTAGTTTTTGGCTAGTTTTTAACTAGTTTCTTGTTGGTTTCTAGATAGTTTTGAGCTGGTTTCTAACTAGTTTTTTGGTAGTTTCTAGGTAGTCTTTAGCTAGTTTCTAACTAGTTTTTATGTAGTTTCTAGGAAGTCTTTAGCTAGTTTCTAACTAGTTTCTTGGTAGTTTTCAGGCAGTCTCTTCCTAGTTTCTAACTAGTTTCTAGGTAGTTTCTAAGTAGTATTTAGCGAGTTTCTATTTAGTTTTTAGGTAGTTTCTAGAAAGTCTTTAGCTAGTTTCTACCTAGTTTTTGTGTGGAAACTAGATAGTTTCCATATATTTTACATACCCAGAAACTGGATAATATAACTTTTACTATCAGCCTCTCAATTATTATTACAATAATCCAGTTATTTAATTTTCGATTCACTACTTTGCAAATAGAAAATACAATTTTGACTTACAATCTTATAGAAAAAAAAAATGAATAAATTCAAACACAGTAAAAATCTAATTTAAATGAGGTGCTTTTCAGTGTTGTTTGTGTTAGTTCTCTTTGACATTTTATTAGGGCGTTAAACTTTATTTTTATACATCAGAGCTCTCACTCTCTCTACAAAAAAAAAAAAAATATTGAAGAAAATTTAGGGTGTATTATAATTAGAAATCCGACATCAATTTATCTTTTCTATATTGAGTTTAAAAATAATAATTAGTCTACCACCTATGATCAATTTTCTTAAATAAATACTGAATGTTTTATATTCTCACTAAAAAAAAATTAATAACTATTAATGTTTACTATTAATTACACTGGAAAAAAAACTTTATTTTATTCATAATAATCGTTTACTTGACTATTATCAAATAAATATTTATTTGTATTAAATAATTATTATTTAAGTCAAATTATAATTAACAACAAATTATATTTGTTTCAAATACAGAAGTTAATGATTCAAATACAATTTATTTAATTCAAATAAAAATTATTTTATTCAAGTAAATATTTATTTAATATGTAACTGATTATATGAAAAAAAAATTTCTTTTTCAGCGTACATCTAATTGTAAAATTCTGAAAATTCTTTCTGATTTTGTCGAATATTTTATTTCTTTTAATTTTCTTTTGCCATAGAAGAAATAAATTAACTTTATTGGAGATGGTATAAAATCGTCTTTCTTGAATTATGAAAGTGATTTTATCATTTTGTGGAAGAGCGAACGACGCAATCTATGGACCACCCTATACATTCATATATACATACATACATAACATATATGTATGTATATATATTTATAAATATTATACAAGAATAAAAAATGCAGGTGGACTTACCGATTACATTGAGCAGGGCAAGAAGCTCGCAGAGGTAATATCTGTACGCCCACCAATTGTGGTAGCGAAGATTCTCCCAGAGATAATCCAACAGCATCTTCTTCTTTTGCTTCTTCTCCACTTCGGAACAGAGTCCAATGTCGAGGTCCATCATAAGAGCGTGAATCTTGCCGCCCTCCCAACCCTTCCAAAGCCATCGTGGCGTATAGAAAAGTATTGCCTTGAAAAAAAAAAAACACAGATAAATTAAAAAAATTAATTAAAAAAAAAAATATTTACGCATTTATGTATAGAGAGAGAGAGAGAGAAAGAGAGAAAAAAAAACGTAATTGCACGAAGAAACGCAACGATCAATTATCCAAAGACAAGGAATCGAGAAAACTGTGTTCGGCATTCCGGCAATCCTCCACCTCCCCTTCATTTCAACAAGGATATAGGGAGCCGAACGCGGTATTTATTATCCGTGCATAGTGCATATATGTATATAGCTTTCCAATAGGGTTTTTACTAAAGATAAAAAAGTGTCGATAGAGATGCTTTTTTTCGCGTCCAGATAAATTAAAATTCAAGGCCAACAAATCCCTGAAAGGCTCGTTTGCCGATAAATCTCGACCCTGGGAATAAAGCTCTCTTGTCCTTCTCGTACTATTCACGCAATTTTATCTATATTTGTCTTTTTCTTATTCTTCTTCTTCTTCTCCTTCTTCTTCTTCTTTTATATGCATATATAGACATACACAATATGAATAATTATTGTTGGGATTTAAAAGCTCTTATATAAGATTATTATCCACTTTTTGAATGATTTTTGTTTTATTAATTTTGTATAGAATAATTAAAACTAAAGTAATTTCTTTGCAATCCGTTCGTCGTAGAGCACAGTTCGATTATCATGGCAAAGGTTGACATAGCAAAAATTTGATTACAAACCGTTACTTTGGTATCAGTTAGTTACTATGGTAGCAGTTACTATCGTACCAATTACTATGGTACCAGTCACTTTAGCACCATTTAGTTACTATGGTACCAGTTACTTTAGTACCATTTAGTTACTTTGGTACAGGTTACTATGGTACCTATTACTTTGGTACCAGTTACTATGGTACCAGTTACTTTGGTACAAGATACTATGGTACCATTTAGTTACTATGATACCAATTACTATAACAATTAGTTAGTATGGTACCAGTTACTTTGGTACCATTTAGTTATTATGATACCAGTTACTATGGTAGAAATTACTATGGTACCAGTTACCATGGTACCAGTTACTGTGGTACCAGTTACTTTGGTACCAGTTACTATGGTAGAAATTACTATGGTACCAGTTACTATGGTAGAAATTACTATGGTACCAGTTACCATGGTACCAGTTACTGTGGTACCAGTTACTTTGGTACCAGTTACTATGCTCCCAATTATTTACTATGGTACCATTCAGTTAGTATGGTACCATTTAATTACTGTGGTACCAGTTACTATGGTACCAGTTAGTTACTATGGTACCAGTTACTTTGGTACTAGTTACTTTGGTACCAGTTACTTTGGTACCAGTTACTTTGGTACTAGTTACTTTGGTACTAGTTACTTTGGTACTAGTTACTTTGGTACTAGTTACTTTGGTACTAGTTACTTTGGTACTAGTTACTTTGGTACTAGTTACTTTGGTACCAGTTACTTTGGTACCATTTAGTTACTGTGGTACCAGTTACTATGGTACGAGTTACTATGATACTATTTAGTTACTTCGGTACCAGTTACTATGGTACGAGTTACTATGGTACGAGTTACTATCGTACCAGTTACTATGGTAGAAATTACTATGACACCAGTTACTATGGTAACAGTTAGTTACTATGGTACCAGTTACTTTGGTACCGTTTAGTTACTATGGTACCAGTTAGTTACTATGGTACCAGTTACTTTGGTACCAGTTACTTTGGTACCATTTAGTTACTGTTGTACCAGTTACTATGGTACGAGTTACTATGGTACGAGTTACTATGGTACGAGTTACTATGGTACGAGTTACTATCGTACCAGTTACTATGGTAGAAATTACTATGATACCAGTTACTATGGTAACAGTTAGTTACTATGGTACCAGTTACTTTGGTACCAGTTACTTTGGTACCGTTTAGTTACTATGGTACCAGTTACTTTGGTACCAGTTACTTTGGTACCAGTTACTTTGGTACCAGTTACTTTGGTACCAGTTACTTTGGTACCAGTTACTTTGGTACCAGTTACTTTGGTACCAGTTACTGTGGTACCATTTAGTTACTGTGGTACCAGTTACTATGGTACCATTTAGTTACTTTGGTACCAGTTACTATGGTCCCAATTATTTACTATAGTACCATTTAGTTACTGTGGTACCAGTTACTATGGTACCATTGAGTTACTGTGGTTCCATTTACTGTCGTACCATATATTATTATAGTAATTAATATGGTAACATGTACTATGGTAATAATTACTATGGTAACAGTTAGTATATTAACATCTATTATGGTTCAGTATGCTTACAGTTAGTATATTAACCAATACAACAGTTAACATAGTAATCCTTGTCATAGTAATGGTTGCTACAGAAACTGTTACCGCAGCAACGATTATTTCAGTAATGGTTACCATAGATATCGTCCCCATGGTAACGGTTCTTAATTAAAATTAATATAACAGTCACGAAACCCTTTAATAGCTTCAGAGCAAGTAAATAGACATTAATTAAAATAAGAAAAGCCAGAGACAAAAAAATAATGTTATTTAGGGCTTGATAATGGGAAAAAAGATTTTTTTTCGAAAAAAAAAAAACTAAAATCGTGAACTTGTGTTTGGATGGAGGAAAATAATTGCTTTGCTTTAAAAGAGAGCAATTCGTTGGATTTTTTTTTTCAAAGCGCGCGCGTTAAAATCCGCCCTTCTTTTTTTTTCCTCCCCGTCTCACGATTCTTGAGAGGAGAGGGACACCTTCTCCTTTTAGACCCATTGTTCATTGTTCTTCTTTTCTTCTCCTATGTCTTTTATAAGTTTTGTAGTATAGAAAAAGCATATCAGACACTTTCAATGAGCGCGCGGTCGTGGTTTAGAGAAGAAGAAGAAGAACAGGAAGAAATCGGGTTCCCGAACCATGAGACAGTCGATAATTAACGATGAGAGTCCTCTCTCGATTCTCTTCCTGAATGTCCTTCGTTACGACAACGACGACAATATTCGGTGTCAACGCACCTGCGTGTGTAAATCTTTTATTTTTATATATAACTCTTTTAATATATTACGCAATATAAATGTGCGCTGATTTTTCTGAATCTTCATTAGAATGAGAGAAGGAGAAAGATTTTTTTTAATAATAATAATAATAAAAATAATTATACACTACACATAATTATAAAAGTAATTATAAATATATAATTATAATTTTTAATGATAATTTTTTATTATTATTTTTGTGTTTGTTTAATTGGGTATATGATTTTTTAAGTAGAAAAGGTGTTGATTAGTTAAACGAGCTTTTTTTAATTAGAATAATTGTATTTTATTTTTACCTCCTTAAACAATTTTTGTCTAAATAAACTTTTCTTCTTCTACTTTCAAAAAAAAAAAAAATTAAGTAGAAAAGTTACGGTGTTAGTCAGACATTTTTTTTTAAATTGATAAAATCCAAGCATTTATCAATTCGAGCAATTAATTAATTAGACAGATTTGTTAATTATAAGAAAATTTTACTGACGATTTCCTCAGTATCAAAAAGTTGGCTTTCGTTATTATATATAGATATATATGTCTCATATGTCACTTTGTCAAAATGTCGTAAAATCCGTCGCCAATTCAACACACAACTGATATTCTTTGACTTGCGACAGTTATCTTGACAATTGACAAATGAAAATGCCTCCATTCACCCATTTCTCACGTCAAAAAACTATATACAAAAAAAAAAAAAAACTTAGTACTGCAATTTGTTTATCTTGATTCTTATAACAATATTTTAATGTCTTAAGAAACAAAAGTACAGTAAATTATTATTTTTCTGTTATTTATAATAATTTTTTTTTTTTTTTTATTTTCAGAATACTATCCAGAGTTTGAGCAATTCCCATAGCATAGACCTTGTTTTTTTTGTGACTTCCGACAGAAGAAAAACTAAAGGCGCCGACTCGAGAAATTTTTCAAAGTGAGTGTTTTAAAAAATTCTTAATATTGATTAATTTTTTAAATTAACAAAAAAAAACATTTCGAACATTTTTTTTTTTACTTTATCTATAGAATAATTTATTTGAGTCAAACAAATATTTTACTTGTAAAAAACAAACCCTTTTTTCAGTTAAGACTAGTTAAATTCAATAAAATCATTTGGTTTATTCAAATAAAATTATTAGGTACTAGGTAGAAACTAGATAGAAACTAGATCGAAATTAGGTAGTATCTAAATAGTATTTCTATCCCGACCTTTCTAGATCGGAACTAGATAGGAGCTAGGTAGAAACTAGATAGTATCTAAATAGTATTTCTATCCCGACCTTTCTAGATAGGAACTAGATAGGAACTAGATCGAAACTAAATAATATCTAAATAGTATTTCTATCCCGACCTTTCTAGATAGGAACTAGATAGGGACTAGATCGAAACTAGATAGTATCTAAATAGTATTTCTATCCCGACCTTTCTAGATAGGAACTAGATAGGAACTAGATAGAAACTAGATAGAAACTAGATAGAAACTAGATAGAAACTAGATAGAAACTAGATAGAAACTAGATAGAAACTAGATAGATACTAGATAGAAACTAGATAGGAACTAGATCGAAACTAGATAGTATCTAAATAGTATTTCTATCCCGACCTTTCTAGATAGGAACTAGATAGGAACTAGATAGAAACTAGATAGAAACTAGATAGAAACTAGATAGAAACTAGATAGAAACTAGATAGAAACTAGATAGATACTAGATAGAAACTAGATAGGAACTAGATCGAAACTAGATAGTATCTAAATAGTATTTCTATCCCGACCTTTCTAGATAGGAACTAGATAGGAACTAGATAGAAACTAGATAGAAACTAGATAGAAACTAGATAGAAACTAGATAGAAACTAGATAGAAACTAGATAGAAACTAGATAGATACTAGATAGAAACTAGATAGGAACTAGATCGAAACTAGATAGTATCTAAATAGTATTTCTATCCCGACCTTTCTAGATAGGAACTAGATAG